CGTTATAATTTCCACTTAGGTTTCCAGCTTATGGATAATCTTTACCTCTCTAAACTATGTACCTCAACTGATTCCCATACAGGTTCCTCTTTACTGCACTCCAACCTTGATCCATGCCTTTACAGGCTTGGTGTGTCACATATTATATTAACCATACACATCATGTGCTGGAATGCAATGGGTTTTAATATGTTTGAGCACATTCATATTGTTCTACACAGGCTGCATCAACAGTTAGAATGGTCCCGTAGGAAGCTGTTTGTAAAGGAACAACTTGGGAACCCTGCCTCTCTTGTTTGTGTCTCATCATGTGTTCCTGCCCCTCCCTTGCTAAGGTCTCCACCATTGAGTGAACTTAGGAGTCAAGTAATGTATAACAGCCATTTCCTCAGAGTCTAACTCACTGGTCTTAAAAAGCATCCCATGCAATCATGCCTGGTTGTGACAGATAGACAGTTGAGATGAGGGTATTTCTTCCTTCCAAAGTCATCATGTACTTCACCTGCATTTCCTTTTATTTAGGTTGCTGCTGTGGAGCAGAGAATGTGGAGGCACCTTTTGAAGAGAACATTTCTGTAAGAGTGTCACAGGCAATGAATGCCAAGTTAGCTTTGTCTTCCCAGAAGAGCCACCCCTGCGAGATTTACTAGTTTTGAGAAACATTTTCCACTTGACTCATCAGCAGGTATTACAACACAGGGAGATACTGTTTAGGTGTGGGGCATGTTCAAAACAATTTTATTTCAGTGCACAGTTTCACCAGCACCAGCAGCAGTACTTGAGAGAGAAGCCTTTGATAAGAGGGGTGAACAGTGTCTCACTTGAAAACAGCTGCAATTTCAATGTGTTTCAGAACCTTTTTACCTGTGGAGAGGTGGAGCAGTACATCCTTAGCATGGCAGGCCATTTCCAGCAAAAGGATACTCAGATCAGTGACAAGCCAAATGGTATCTCAATGTGTGGGGTGACATATCAAGGGAAAAATAATTATTTTACTACAAAAGAAAGTAAGAAAGCCATTGGCTATAACTACACATGTATTTGGGACAGCGGTGTCCCTACTGGCCAAGCATATTTCTGTTGCCGTGAATGTGGAAAATATTTTGCCGAATTTTCTACTTTTTGTTACCATCAGAGATTTCATGCAGAAAAAAAGCTTTCTGAGCACAGTGAATTTGGGAATTCTTTTACCAGTATTACTGGCCTCCTTTCGCATCAGAGTTGTCACAAAGGTGAAAGGCCTTATCAATGTATTGAATGTGGAAAATCTTTTACCAGGATGTGTTTTCTTCGTGACCATCAGATAGTTCACACTGGAAAAATGCCTTATGAGTGCAGTGAATGCGAAAAATCTTTTACCTGTAAAAGTGGCCTCCGTTACCACCAGATGAGAGTTCACACTGGAGAAAGGCCTTATGAGTGTAATGAATGTGGGCAATCTTTTGTCAGTAGTAGTGGCTTCCGTTATCATCAGAAATTGCACACTGGAGAAAGGCATAAGTGCAATGAATGTGAGAAATCTTTTAACAGTATCTATCATCTTCGTTATCATCAGAGAGTTCATACTGGAGAAAGGCTTTATGAGTGCAGTGAATGTGGGAAATCATTTGTTCAGAAACATGGCTTCCAATGTCATCAGAGAATTCACACTGGAGAAAAGCCTTATGAGTGCAGTGAATGTGGGAAATCATTTACTCGGAATAATGTCCTTAATCGTCATAAGAGAATTCACACGGGGGAAAAGCCTCATGTGTGCAGTGAATGTGGAAAATCCTTTACCTGTGGAAGTAGCCTTCGTTACCATCAGATGGGAGTTCACACTGGAGAAAGGCCTTTTGAGTGCAGTGAATGTGGGAAATCTTTTACCAGTACTAGTGCCTTCCGTCGTCATCAGAAAGTTCACACTGGAGTAAGGCCTTATGAGTGCAATGAATGTGGAAAATCTTTTATCAGTGGTAGTAGCTTCCGTCGTCATCTGAGAGTTCACACTGGAGAAAAGCCTTATGTATGCAGTGAGTGTGGGAAGTCTTTTACCACCAAGTATTGCCTTAGTTGTCATGAGAAAATTCACACTAGAGAAAGGCCTGATGAGTGTAGTTAATATGGGGAATCTTTTATCCAAAATTCTTACCCTACTCCCCACAAAGAGTTCACATTGGAGGAAGGTCTTGGATATGTAGGAAATGTAGATTTTTTTTGTTAAACCATAGCAATACTATAAGAAATTCCATGAAGCCCTATTTGTCTGAACTGAATCTCATACACTGCAACATCAAGAGTAGGGAGATTCCCAATAAATATGAGTGCTGTGAAAATCATGTATGTGTGTACTTTGCACTTATTTTTTAAACTTTTTATTAATTTCAGAGAGGAAGGGTGATGGAGAGAGAAATAGAACTATCTATGATGACACATAATCAGCTCCATCCTGCGCATCCTTTACTGGGGGTTGACCATGCAACCAGGATATGTACCTTGAATGGGAACCCACTGAGCCACATGTGTATGTTATAATTTGTTATTTACCCAGGTGTCTTGCCAATTTTATGTCCCTGCATCTTTTTTTTCTTCTACACCTGTGTCCTATCACCAGGTTCACAACCTCTGTCAATTTTTTTAATATATTATTGATTGCAGATGGGAAGGGAGAGAAAGATGGAAACATTAGAAACATGAATGATGAGAATCATTAATCGGCTGCCTTCAGCCCCCTGCTGGTGATCGAGCCTGCAACCTGGTCATGTGCCCTTGACTGGAATCGAACCCAGGACCCTTCAGTCTGCAGACTGATGCTCTATCCACTGAGCCAAATCAAGTAGGGCTGTCAATATTTTTTTTTTCTTAAATATGTTTTTAGTAGACCCCCGGCACACAAAATTCATGTGCGTGTATGGTCCCTAGGCCTAGCTTGAGATTAGGGCCATCTTCCCTGGCTGCCGGCAGCCTGCCTCACCCCTCACCTTCCTGTTCACCATCAGGCAAATGGAGCCTGCCGGGGTGGGGGGAGGGGGGGAGAATGAGAGGTTGGCAGACCCTGATCAAGCCATCAGGGGCTACAGGTTAGGTGCAGCTCCTGTGGTGAGTGTCTGCCCCCTGATGGTCAGTGTATGTCATAGTGACTGGTGGGTGGATCCACCATTTGATCCAATTGCATATTACCCTTTTATAGGATATTAAAGTATATATTTTATTGATTTTTTACAGAGAAGAAGTGAGAGGGATAGAGAGCCAAAAACATCAATGAGAGAGATCGATCAGCTGCCTCCTGCTCACCCCCAAGTGGGGATGTGCCCGCAACCAAGGTACATGCCCTTGCCCAGAATCGAACTTGGGACCCCTGAGT